GGAGTTTTGTACCTATTGCTCCTGATGACTAAAACATTATCCCCAGGTTCTCTGCATGGCTGGCTTCCCCTTAAGCTTTAGATCTGAGCTATAATGTCACCTACTGGGAACCCACCATTCTTCCCAATCCTGACACCTGTTCCATCAACCTGGTTTTTCTTCCCAGGACTTTATTATAGTTTATAATCATTTCAGGTATTTCTCTTTATTGTCTTTATCTCCCAACAGATATAAGTTCCCAGAAGAGAGGCCTCATCTGCCTTGATTGTTATCTCTGGCACCTGGAAGAACACCTAGTGTGGAAGGCGCTCAAAAGAAAAGGAGATGCTCCTACTTATCCAGAAGTGGAACTAGAATAGCTGCATCCCACCGCCTGGAGGCCCTTTATTTCAGAAACACTGCCCATTAGGTGCTAGAAACCTGCATACATGTCAATGCCATACATATATGAGCTACAGTGCTGGCCACCAAAGGTTAATTTCACACCTACATTCAGATTAATATTAGATGGACTTCTAATCCCAGGATAATTTTCAAAATTTTCTTCTTGCATCAGGTACATTTCTTATGAGTCATCCTTGGAAGCCTGACTGAGGTCATTAGGTCTGTGTTAGAATTCAATACTAGGGCCACACTAGTTGAAGCACTGAGTTTAAATATCTTGAAAGAAAGTTTTCCACTCAAGTTAAATCCATTTTTGGAGGCAGTTAGGTAAGAAGAAGAAATAAAAGAGATCCATATTGGAAAGGAAATAGAACTATCTCTATTTGTAATGACATGATCTAGTGTATATAGAAAATGCAAAGGAATTTACAAAAATACTATTAGAACTAATAGATGTTCAGAAAGGTTGCCAGCTACAAAATCAATTGTATTCCTATACACTTGCAATGAACAAATCAAAAATGAAATTAAGAAAATAATTGTACTCACAATAGCATCAAAAAGAATAAAATAGGAATAAATTTAACAAAAGAAGTATAAGACTTATACACTGAAAACTACAAAACATTACTGAAAGAAATTAAAGACATAAATAAATAGAAAGACATCCCAGGGGTTGGAAGGTTTAATATTGCTATCGAGATAGCAATACCGTCCAAACTGATCTAGAGACTCAGTGAAATTCCTGCCAGAATCCCAGCTGCCTTTCTTGCCGCGATTCACAAGCAGATCCTCAGATGTGTACGGCAATGCGAGGTTCACAGCATATCAAAAACAATCAAGAAAAGGGAGAACAAAGTTGAAGGACTCATACCTTCTGATTTCAAAGCCTATTACAAAACTATACTGATCAAGGCAGCGTGGTACTGCATAAAGACAGACAGAATAGAATTGAGAGGCCAGAAATAAATCCTTACAATTATGAATGACTGACTTTCAAAAAGGGCAACAAGACAATTCAATGGGGAAAGAATGGTCTTTCAACCAGTGGTGCTGGCACAACTGAATATCCATGTGCAAAAAATATGGTTGAACTCGACTTCCCACAATATACAAAAACTATCTCAGAATGGATCACGGTACCAAATTTAAGAGCTAAAACTGTAAAACTCTTAGAAGAAAACATAGCAGTACGTCTTTGTGACTGTGGATTAGGCAATGGTTTCTTTGATATAATACCAAAAGCACGAGCAACAGGGGAAAACAAAAATAGATCAACTGGACTTCATCAAAATAAAAAACTTCTGTGCTTCAAAAGATACCATCGAGAAATGAAGAAACAACTTACAGAACGGGAGAAAATATTTGTATTTCATATATCTGACAAAGAATTTGTCTCCACACTCTTAAAACTGAACAATAAAAAGACAAACAATTCAAGTAAAAAATAGGCAAGGATTTGGACAGGCATTTCTCCAAAGGAAATATACAAATGGCTAATAGGCACATGAAAAGATTCTCAACATATTTAGTCACTAGGGAAATGCAGACCCAACCACAATGGGATAACAGTACATACACACTAAGATGGGTTAAATAAAAAAACCCAGATAATAAGAAGTTAAGAAGTGTTGACTAGGATGTGGAAAAATTGCCCCCTACTCCCAACCTCTCCACCAGCACACATTGCTGGTGGGATGTTAAACTATACAGCCATTTTGGAAAACTGGCAGTTTCCCTAAGGTTAAATGTAAGTTCCACATGACCCAGCAATTTCACTCCTAGGTGTACAGCCAAGAGGAATGAAAACCCGTCTATACAAAAACCTGCACATGAATGTTCATAGCAGCATCATTCATAATAGCCAAAAAGTGGAAACAACCAAATGTCTATCAAATAACAAATGAATAAACAAATACCACATATCCATATCACAGATTATCATTCAGGCATGGGAGGGGATGAAATGCTACTACACGATGGGCCTTGGAAACATTAAGCTAAGTGAAAAAAGTCAGACACAAAAGGCTGCACATTGTATAGGATTCTGAATATTTATAGGAAGTGTTCAGAACAGACAAATCCATAGAGACAAAAAGTAGATTAGTGGTTGCCAGGAGTTTGGCGGGGATAGGGAGTGACTGTTAATGGGTATGGAGTTTTTTGGGGGGTGATGAAAATGATCTAAAATTAGGTGGTGGTGATGGCTGCACAACTGAGAATATTTTAAAAAGGCTAAATTCTATATTGTGTGAATTAAGTATCAGTAAAATGGTTGTTAAAAAAATGTCACCCCTGTAGGTTTCTGGGATCTGGGGAAAAAATTCTCTTTGTGGAGTTAGGAAGCACCATAATACTCTCTTGAGGAAACTTGTTTTCTCAGATTCTTAGCTGCAAATATCAAGTGGATAACATCCACTTGAACCTTGAAAGGGCTATTAGAACCCTTTCACTATGACCATGAGTTTCCCTTTTAAATGGTGTCTCTGAAGGAACACTCCATTCCCCTAGTAAATTCACTGTAAAGTGGGGTGGGCTGCCTATGTCTTCAGTAATTGTATATCCTACCTATTAAGCTTAGATCACCGCATTCACAAATGCGAGCCACAGGCCGTAGCGATCATGTGGGCTGTCAGAGATCCAGTTCTCTTAGTCTGAGTTTTGACACTGAGGTCAAACCTCTCTGAACAAATGGGAAGTGAGGCCTTTGTGCCTTTACCCCCTCATCACAGATAAAGCTGCCTCGCCCCCTCCCTTTGCAGCGACTGCTCGTCAGTCTCCTGAGCTGTAAAGTGGACCAGTAACAGCTCAGAGGACTCCTATGCAGAAGACGCATGTCAGGCTTGTGCTTTGTAATCTGCGGTGCGCAGCTGTCACAGGGTCTCCTGAAACAACCCAAATGGTTTCTGGGAGCTGCCTTATCCTAAAAGCCTCTTAAACGGAGAGGATGGGTGAGGGAAAGTCCCCCGCTCTCCAGGCTTTGGTGCCTTTCCTCCTCTCTTTAGTTCCTGGTATTACCAGAGCACTGGCTTTGAGACAGTCTAGTTTGCGGAGTGGCCATTTGTGCCTGAAGTTCCCAAGCTGATTTTCATGCTTTGGTTTTATTCCTACAGAAAGAGAGAAAGATTGCAAATAAACAATTTTTTGGATATTTATGGTATTTAAGATTAATTTAGTAGAAAGGAATTAGGGGTGAAGCGGAGGGGTACGCTTCTCAAAGACTTGCTTTGGTTCTGTTTTTGGCAGTGCAGGACTGGCTAGTCAAGTGAAGCAATGTTGTAGAGTAATTCTGCAAGGTTAGTTTCTTAACTGTATTCCAATTATTAGCACAACCAAAGAAAAATTACAGTTAGGTAGAACAAGAACATTTGTTTTAGAAATATTTTCAAAAATGAAGAACATGCAGAAAATATTATTGACCACTTTGATCCTAACTCCCATAAAATAATCCAACTTCACCGGTTAAGTGATTTACTATTTTCTTATATACACACATACACACATGCACACAAGCCTAAGAAACAAAAAGAGGAAAAGGCACTTTAGTTTCAGCGCTGGGGTTTGAGGGGCGGCCAAGACTTTTGTAAGACTTCGCAATGCTCACACGGCACAGCGCGGTGGGTACAGGCAGCAGTTCTCGACTCAATCTAGGTTCAGTTTGTGACTCCCCGACTGACTAGCTTTGTCCCTCAACAAATCGAATAACCGTTCCGAACCCACTTCTTCACCTGACAAATGGGAATGATGACTGTCTCTACCTCTCAAAGTCATTATGAGGATTACAAGACATAGTTCATGGAAGAAGCCTTGGCACAGAGGCTGGGACATGGTCAGTGTGTCAGAATGTGAGCTAAGTCTATTTGGTTGATGGTGATGTGAATGCCTATTACCTATGCTGGTAACAACCTGCTCTGAATTCCTTAGACCATAGCAGACCCAAAGCTCTACATTGCAACACATACAGAACACTTAGGACATGACAAATAATGAAAACATTTAATGTTTAAAAAAAATGGAATGTAAGTGTCATTTGCTCTGCAGAGCCCGTTGTTCTCTGGTTTCTCAGTAAAGCTCTGGGGGAACTGAAGGAAGAAAAACACTAACACAGGAAGGCAAAAAAATCAATCTGATGGACATGAATAGAGCCACCGAATGAGCCTAGGGATTTATCCAATGACACTGCTTTACTGTTAACCTTCACTCATACCATCTATTATTTGGGGCACTCCTGCAGAGACCAGAAAGTGAATAGAATAATGATGTTTTTATGGCTCCTAATGTAGATTGTTATTGAAAATCTGTCAATTTTACTGGCAAGCCTTTGGCTCAAAAATAAGATCTTCATTTATAATTTGTAGGCAGTGATAACTAAAATTATGAGAAGTAACTGGGAAATAAAAAATAGCTATTATGATAATTATCTTTCTCATTAAAAACATGAGGTATTATACTATCGTTGGGATGTGTAATATACTCTTTAACAGCTGCTATCTGAGCTAAAACACATCTGAATAGGAAGGAAAATACATAACTGATCACCCAAATAATGAAAAGTAGATGCTGTTAGAAATGTGCGCACCATGGGGCACAACGGAACGCAGCCGGAAGCCACTTACACATACTTCAGGAACTGGGTTCAACTTTTCCCCCGAGACTTCCTTTAGGGAGGTTTTCTTTAGTGATGCTGGCACTTGATGGGCTGGCCGGTCCTCCGCTTTGACAATGGGATCTGGAGTTTTCTGACAGGGCTCACTCCTTCTTCCAGGGGGAGAAAGGCAAGGTGTAGGCATCAAATTCGTTTCAAAGTCTTTTTTTTCTATCTGCTTCGCCAAGCAGTTCTGGCTTTCTGGTGCTCCTGGTCCTGCATAGGCACTTTTTAGATGTCCTTGATCTGTCCGCCCTGCAGCCTTCCCCAGCATGCTCTCTCCGGTTACCGGAGCCAGCCCTGAAGGACCAGATGGTGGGCCTGAAGAGCCCTGGCCACTGTGGTCACCCTACACAGGGGGACAAAGTGCGATTAGTTTGAGCTGAAACTTGTGAATAAGTTATTAAGTACAGGTTCTTAAAAAGTTCATAATTCTCTGAAAAAAGCATAAAAGTAAAAAAAAATATATATGTATATATGTATGTGTGTGTATATATATACACACACATATATATATATAACAATTTTATTGTGCAATAAAACTATGAGTAATGAAAAATGGCAATGCAAATAGGTATGAATCACTTGCTAAGATGCCCTGCTAGGTAGTATCTGGCCTTGGTAAGGCATATTTTTCACCACTGAGTAATGAGGGAACATTTAGGAAATAGTCACTCAAATATATTCATCCCAAAGTAAAAGAAAAGGATCCACAGGAAGTCACCTAAAACATCTAAAAGTTATGTACTTTGACTTCCTGATGAGCTAGCTCCATGAGAAGAGGAAGAACTAGAAGTTATGGTATTTAGCTTATTTTGGCAAGGAAATTCTACTATAAAAACAAGTTGGCCTATCAATGTATTTTTATCTTACATTATTGTAGGGCAGTTTTATTGTTCAAGAGCGATAGCTATCGAAAATGTTCCTCGAAATATTTTTCTTACATGATGATTTCAAATACAGAAAGTTTTTTTCCATATTTTGAAATGAATCTCATTAAATATAATTTTTTGGAAAGCTTAAAGTGAAAGCTAGAAGAATTTTACAAGTGTAAGGTTCTGGGATTATCTGTAGGAAAGGAAAAATTCTAATTTTTAAAATCCAAGAAAGGAGGAGGTACAAACTAAAGTACTAGCCATTAAAGTAAATAAAGGAAATGAGAAATATAGTGCTACTTCAATGGGTAGAATTTTCTGCTACAAAATAGTAAATTTAAAGAAGAAACTAATGTGATCATTATTTATACTTGTCATAGTAAACTTTTCCAATTTGTCTTACCTATGTAAATCTATAATAAATAAATGGATGTAAAAATAGCAAACAGAAAAATCAATAAAAGCAGATTACATTGTAAAGACATTATTTAGTCTGAGAATATATATCTTACATTCAGTTTCAGTAATCTATGTCCCCATCATTCCATTTACAGCCATACGGAATTGAACAGCCACTTATTTCCAAAACTTGGCATTTTTAAGCAAAATATTCGAGTAACTGATTGAACTGTTCAGTTTCTTCCTGTTTGGTCATCATACATGCTCAACACACAGATTGCCATTGAAATGTGAAATTCCCCTTTCAGTAGAAGCGAAGTGTGTGTGCAGGTGAGGGAGTCTGCTCTAGGTGGGGCACAGGACAAGACAGGAATTCACGAAACCGTTCAGTGACAAGGGATCTGTCTGTGTGTCTGTCTATCAATGTCCGGCCTCTGGTCCTTTCTTCCTCGTCACACGTAGGGCTACGTATTGCTGTAGGTGCTGTGGATGCTGGAAATGGAATGGGAGACCTGAACTTAATCTCAGGGATTATCCTGAAGGCAACAAGGGGTCCTTGAGTGATCTGATGCAGGGGAATGCCACAAGGGCACAAAACGGAAGGCATGGGGTGACTTTGTGTGTCTATTGTTTGCGGGGTGTCTGGAGTGTGTGTAGAGATAAGAGACGGGAAGCCAACTAGGAGACTATTAAACTGTTGGATTAGAAACACCGAGGTGGCTACATTCAGGCAACGGTGGTGATGATGGAGAGCCCTGGGATGACTTGACAGTGCTGTGGAAGGCAGGGTGTGTGGTACTAAGTGACCCAGGAAATCCTTACATGGAGTCTGCAATCCCTAACTGCCATGTTATGATTGTCCTTCTTGTGGAAAAGAGTTGTGGTTAGTAGACAACTGTGTTCTTAAGAAAGGTGCACTTGGGTTGTAGAACCTCTGCCTGCCTCTCTGCAGTAAAGAAGGGAACTGCAGAGTGGCTGAGCATATTTATGAGCATTTCCTCTTGGTATTCGTTTGGGGCCCACATTTCCTTTGTCCATGTTGGTTTGATCTTCTGATACATATATTTCTTTATAAATAATAGAGAATATTTCTGGAGAAAATTAAACATTAAATAAATATTAAAATTAAATATTTTGGAGAAAAATCAATATTTTCCAGAGGACCAGATAAAGTAAAGAAAATATGGTGAGTGGGTATCAATTGTGGGTCCTTACTTTATGTCTAGGAGGGATAATAAGAACGGTGAGAGTATTTCTGCCTTTGCAACAGTGCCGCGGGCCTCGGCTGCGGGCACTAGGCACCTCTCTCTGCTGTGAGCCACTTACTGAGAGAGCTCATCTTTCCCACAGTTCTGGAAACACTGAGGGTGTTCGTATGTTTGAACAACACTGCCTTCAGGCAGAAAACTGGAGAGTTCCACAGATCTGGAACATGCCTGATGTTCTAAATTACAGAATGGAGTGGTGACTCTTGCAATGTCTGTTTCATGCAGACAAAAAGAGAATAAAAGCTCAGTCTTGTCTAAAGAAGGTAAACAGGGAATATAGCAAACATCCCCCAAGCCTTAATTCTAAGAAGGTGTTGGTGGAACTAGGACAGATTTTTTTCTTTTTAATTTAGTCTGGCTACTAGACAGTACTCTCTCTTCTCTAAAAAAATCTTTTTAAAATTCCAGTTTAATTTCCTCCAAGTGTTATATACAGTTGACAGTGGGATTTCTGCGACCAAAACACCTTTGATTCATTCATTTCCATCACAGTTTCATAATGAAAAATAAATGTGTACTATGGAATTAAAACAGATTGGCTCTAAAATTAAGCTGATTAAGTAGAAAAGGGATAATTATGATTCTCTGGGTCAGAATTTCTGGATCATTCTGGGATTCATGAAATAGGCAGAAATTAGGAGCTTTTGCAAAAATTAGTTCAGTAAGTATTTATTAAGCTCCTGCTATGTGTAAGGCATTTTCTAGGCACTATATAGGACACACAGGTAAGAAGAACGTGGACATCACCCTTGAGAGGCACCTATCTTAAAGGCAAAAAGGCATAAAGCAGAGAAATAGATTACCTACACAAGTAATAATTTCATAATGTAGAAGGTAGCAAAAGTCACTTCAGAAGTTTCAGATGTACTATTAAAGAGATTTTGGGAGTGCATGGAAAACCAGATGTTTGCTACATCATTTAAAAAACACTTTAAAAATCAATCCATAAGAATCAATCTATAGAAGGAGTCTATTTTTTTGCAGCTGTGGGTGGGTCAGAGAGCAGCAGCCTGTTCTTACTTCCAGGGGTTTATTCAGGTATAAAGTATTTCTTTTTGCTTGGCATGAGCAGTAATTACATACACAGAAATATTTATGAGCAGGTATAGGACATTCATCTCACATTTTTCCTAAGATACACTGGTTTGGAGATGGGCCGAGAGGTGGACAGACTCAGCTGTGTTCCCTGGGAAGCCTTCTCTTGGTTGTATTGCTTTTCCACAGTAATACGTCTCCAGGCTATTTTAAGTATACGGAAAAGACAACTGGAGAAGTCGGACAGAGCACAAAAGGCTTGCTTGCCTTGGCTGTCCCAGAACCACTAATTCTGGTTTATCTCAGATTCTGAAAGGGGAATTTAGATAAATGAGAAAGGCAAGATGATATGAGACTAATATTTTGATTTAAGTTGGGATAGCTTCTCTTTTAGAGAGGATAACAGTGAGGAATAAAAAATACTATAGTATTTACCAGGAGTGGTGCACTGGCAAAACCCCATTCCTTTCTTTAGTAACACTCTGACTTACTAAAATAGAAGATATGGGTATAGATGTTTATTAATTTCACATATGCAACACATTTGGGCTCAGCAGGCTTCTGGATGAATTTTTTCCTATATATCCTATGGATTTGTTATCTTAGCATAAGATGCTAACTTAGTATGATCTGATTAAAAAACAACCACTTTTCCCCCTTTGGTTTGTCATTTAGCTACAGAAAACCTGTGCAGCAATTGAATATTATTTGTCAGAGTGCTGAAGAAATTGTTATGCCATTTTCACATTCCAATCATCCGTTCATCTGTTTCTCAGGAGAACAAATACAAAATATTTTTGATTTAACTTAATATATTTTTTTAAAAGTCTCAAATCTCTTGAACCATTTGTCTTCTGGGCTCAGAAACATTTGTTTGTTAAATATTCAATCACACCCCAGTGCCAGGAACATCAATAGAATTTGCCTGATTAACTGTAGCACAGCATATGTGCACTGAAGAGGAGAGTGATTTCCCCAAGGAGCCAGCACTTCCTCTGTTGAACTATGTTTCTTAAAAGGACATGCAGATGGGCATTTGGACAATAATTTCTGGATGCGCAAAATGGATTGCTCTTGCTGAGTTGTTATTTTAAAAAGATAATTTTAATGACTCTTGAGGGCCACCGACTTGAAACAGATGGGACCCAGGCTCTTCGTATTAAAACTTTAATTTAGTTGACTTGAGTTGGAACACAACTGTGTTTTAGCCTTTGTAAAATGGAGATCATATTTATTTGTATATTTCAATTGATTTTTAAATTTAGTCCACCATGAAAAAATCTTATATAATATTTGTGAAAGTCTTGCAACAAAACATATCTGCAATATTCCAAAGCAGTTTTAGTTTTGTAATTGAGATTGAGCAGCAGGGGTTTTTACGTTTGTCTAATGTTTTAGTGACTAAATTTGTGAGCTGACAGCACGTTTTAGTTAGACAACAGCACTAGGAGACATCAGAGAGCACATAGGTATATGCTTCCATCATCAACTGAAGAACACAGTTATATAACTGTGCAAAAATATAAGTCAAGACATTGGTCATAACAAACTGAGAAAACTTTTTCCATGATAACCATTTAAATGTATTTTAAATGTCTTCACTAACAAGCACCCCCAAGAAACAGTCCTACTTCTACCTCTTAAATGAGATAGGGAACTATTAAAATAACACAGTTCTCTTTGGGAGGCAAAGATAATTCATAGTGGTATCTTATAATTCATTTTACTGGTTTATAAACAAATGAAAGGAAAAGAAGATGTAACTGTGTCTAATAAGTAACTAAGATGTAGCATGCTTGATATTAAAAGGGGTTGGGCAAATTATTTCTATAAATATTTTTACCTCTACCTCTAGCCAGTCATGCTTCACAGACAAATCACAGCATAAGTTAGAGGAACTGTATGGGATGGGTAAACATCATGTGAATATTTGGGGAAAACAATGAGACTCCTTAAATTGTTCAAGACTAAAGCATATTTTTCGGTAAGTTGGACTTCATGTTCTTTTAACTGACAACACTTTAAAGATTTCATGGGAAAACTCCTACCCAAACCAAACATTTATCTGCAAGATGTTTATTTTTGGCATCTTCTGCAAGTGGTTGAAGGGTATTCTAAGGAGTCAGGACTTTTACAACCTTCTTTCCCTGCCTTTAACAATGGAGAGCCAACTCACAAGAACCAAGGGGACTGTGACTTTCTCAGAGAGGAACAGAGGGCTTCAATAGATAATAATAAAGACATACAGATGTGAACAACTTTAAAGAATTACTTGCACAGAAGAAATATTAAATTTGCCTGGTAGGTTTACAGAGTACGTTATGTTGTAATTCATAACATACAGGAATAAAAATGCAAGGCTATATATACTAAAAACAGAGTCCTTTCATTTTTTTTCCAACACATAAACTGACATTTAAACATTTTTAAAGGCTACACAGAAATATAAGCAGCCTCATGTGAAGTAAGTATCATTTCTATTATGTGTAGGTAAGTGTGTATGAGAAAGTAACACAGAATCTTTTGTCGAGTGTGTAGGGGTGACTGGTTCATAGTATACCCCAGAAATATATGCTATCAGAGAAAAAGAAATGAAATAGTTAACGACTGAGTGCTAAAGGATACCTGGTAGGCAACAATGCTGGGAAGCCAAGAGGGAGGCCGGCACTACAACCACCCGTTTACTCCGTTGTTTGTAGAGTCATCCTTGCAGGCCTCCACAGACAGAGATTTGGAAGCTTCCTAGCTAACTTGAACATTCTAAGTAGTCAGTCCATATAATTCATATCCAAATATGGATAATTTTTTGCCTCAGATGTTCCAATCTGGACTATGATACAAGACGAATTACTTGGCCTTGCAAATATCTGCTTTAACATGTGATACACAAGCAGAGTTTGGGGGAACAAAATGAGTTTTTTGAGATGAAAAATTAACTTAGGGTAGTAATAAAATATTAATACAAAGCTAATTATTTCAAGTTGCAAACCAGATGTATATACTCAAAGCCAGGTTGGGAATAATGGCATAACAAACAAAATAGCGATAATAGGAACATCATTTTTTTTTCCTTTCAGATGCTGCATTAGCATGAAAGGCACTATTTTAACAGCGTTCCTAAGACAGTTCATTTTACACGGTAGTGTTGAGTTTATAGCTCACCACAAAATATATTTCTATCGTGTGCTTCTCAGTAAGAAGTACGACTTCAAAATTAATTGAGTTTCAGGAATATTAGTATATATGTCTGCCTAGGGAATAAAACTTTTGGTAAAGCAAAGACTAAGACAGTAGCATGTGCCCAAAAAAACTCATACTTTTGAGGCTCTCATGCTAATGAAGATCTCAGATGTGAATTAATTATTGAGGAACTTAAATTAGGAAGACAATGTATTACTGACAGCTTATTTTAATTGGTCTTTATTATCATATGTATACTTTCCCGCTTAACTATCATAATGACATGATTTGACTTGGCCTAGTTTATATGTTACTGAATATATCTAATTTCCCTTAAAAATACTCAGTGGTCTAACATCAAATAAGGTCTTTTAACTACAAGTTGTAAACTTCAAGGCTAATAAGTAATGTAATTATTAGACATTCATCCACCATTATTTATAACATAACATTATGTTTTCCTTAAGTATAATTATTTTACTCTAAGGATATAACATTCTGAAATAATACAATTAATAGTAAGAATGCCTAAATCAGCCAAACTTATTTTTCTTCAGAGACTCTATGTAATATATATTTTAAGTATGAAATCCAATTTCCCATTGACTTACGCAATTAATAAATGGGAGAAGTAATCTTATAGGAAAAGAATTTACAAAAAAGGCCCAAATAAACCTTTTGGCTCTCTGTGTAGCACCAGGATGGTGGGCAAGAACGAGCACCTTACAAAAGGTGGCAAAAAGGGAGCCAGGGAGAACGTGTTGATCCATTTTCTAGGAAAGGGTGGGATGATGTGAAAGCACCAGCCATGTTCAACATAAGAAATATTGGAAAAACACTAGTCACAAGAACTCAAGGAATCAAAACTGCATTTGATGGCCTCAAGGGTCATGTTTTCAAAGTGTGTCTCGCTGGTCTGCAGAATGATGAAGTTGCATTTAGAAAATTCAAGCTAATTACTGAGCAATGTTCAGGGCAAAAACGGCTGGATTTCCGTGGCATAGATCTTAACCATGACAAACTGCTCCATGGTCAAAAAGGGGCAGACCATGACTGAAGCGCATGTGGATGTCAAGACTACCAGTGGTTATTTGCTTCCTTTATTGTGTGTTGGTTTTACTAAAAAACACAATAATCAGATTCAGAAGACCTCTTATACTCAGCATGAGCAAATCTGGAAGAAGATGATGGAAATCATGACTAGAAGAGTGCAGGCAAATGACTTGAAAGAAGTGTTTGATAAATTGATACCAGACAGCACAGACAGCACTGGAAAAGACACAGAAAAGGCAAGCCAATGATATTTCTCTATGATATCTCTGTTAGAAAAGTAAAAATGCTGAAGAAGCCCACGTTTGAATTGGGAAAACTCATGGAGCTTCATGGTGAAGGTAGTAGTTCTGGAAACTATGAGATGAGACAGGTGCTAAAGTTGAACAAGCTGATGGATATGAACCACCAGTCCAAGAATCTGTTTAAAATTCAGACTTTTAATGGTGTCAAGTAAAAAGTTTACATGTGGGGGAGGGAGGAAGCCCCAGACAAATCAATTTGATAAAGAAGGGATCATTACAGATTCTAGAAACTTGTCTAAATATAGTCTGGCATTTTTGCTGGTCATATTTTTGTAGTTTAGTTTGTATCTTTTTATTGCCTGTAACAGTGAACCCCAAAGCTTACATCATATGGCAAGGCTTCTGCCCCTCTGTCCGGCTGCTTCTCAGCAGGCTCCCACTAAAGGGGGGCCAGGACAGGTGTCAGGAATGAGACAGTCCCACGATAGACTCTAGCCATATGCTGCTGGCCATTGTGTTGGCCATGGCACAGGGATGACGAGATAGCTATGCTAACCCGAGCTTGGGTAACGCACGATAAATTTATTTTCAGTTTCATGTAGTTGGTGGAAGTGCATGTTCACACAGAAAATACCGAAGGACATCAGTAGTAGAGTAGTTAGTAGCAAAAGAAAGAACATAAGGTGGTAAGTTAAAATGCTCAGAACTAGTGCTCTTGATTTCCCCCCAAAGTTCTATTGCCTCTTCTCAAGGCGTATCCTTTGTACAGATGGGAGAGGTTAAGGTTTGCACATAGTACCATTTAAGGGACAGTTTCCCCATAACACTTCTCTCAAAGTTTCCCAGGTAACTACCATTTCCTACTTGCCATGAAATTCCCAGCACTGTGGGAATTCTTTTGGATTAGGTAAGAAAGATGGTGGTGGGCACAAGGGAAGGGATGGGCCTCTCCCATTCACGAAATGGCATGGATTGTCTGGATTGACCAATTAACGTTGTAGAGGAATTGATGGCTGGTAAGGGCAATTCTAGATGCTGAAGACAAACACCCACTCTACAGTTTTTATAGGTATCGTTTTTTAGTCTGTAGTTTTTATGAAAGGGACAAAGATGTACACAACATTTAAAATGCTGGCAGTAAATGTACTGTTTATGCATATAGGGCTTATATTTGGTATGACTAATAGTTTCATCATGCTCAGAAGCAAGGACATTATGAAAAAAGGATTTCCCCATTTGCACTTTGCTACAGAAACTCATTAAAGTTGCAAAAAACAATAATTACTGCCTGAAGAATCTTGCCATATTCTCAAGTGGCTCTGAAGGTAGGAGGTATGAACTTCATCCTCATCCCACTGTCCAAAGGGGGATTCTTGATCAGTTACAGTTATTAAAAAAGAAGTTTTATAAGCATGCACAAAGAGTTTTTAAAATTATTTCTATAATTTCTACATAGAAATGATTTGTATAATTTTATTAAACCATAAACTTGATGTAATCTGCTTTTAAAATAATTGTCTTTTCTAGAAAATATGAATATTGAAGAGTAAAGCTAAAGAAATTTCATAATTAATTTCATATGGGGGAAAAGAGTTAAAATGTATTAAGTTTTAAACAAATGTTTCAGAACTACATTTTTATTTTCAACAAGGTTTTTTTTCTAACTTGCTATGAATTTACTGACTTATGGGATATACTTGTATTCTAAATAATTGCAAACAGAAAGCTTCCTGTAAGGCAAGTCCCAGCTCTAATCCATGATTCATTATCTAAACTTTAATTGGCACAACTCTTGAATTTCTGACGCCATATGGAAAATAATGAGTCCTAATAGGTCTAAGGTGAAAACATGGCAGGGGAGTAAGGAAGCCAGAAAACCATCAGTTCAGAATTCACTGCAACTGCAACACAATTTCCCCAGAGATCTAGAACAATGTGTTCTCAGTGTTTTACTGGTCTTGCTATCATATAACTAAATTGCATATTATTTCTCATTCTGTGAGACAAAGATGAAAATGGAAAAGCAAAAAGCAAACCCAAGACTGGTTTCCATAATTAAAAATGAAATTGGCTGACTGTTAATAAAAAAAGGCAGTAATTTAGAGTTGCCATAACAACCTGAGGCAACTGTTGACTGACATGGCAATCTGCTGCATTTTTATAAATAGTGTTTGATTTCCCCTCTTTCACTGCAACTAGTTTCAGTGCTTATTGAAGCTAATGGAACAACTTTGCTCCAAAACTACTTCACTCATTGAGCAGTGTACCTCTTTGCTGCTGTCACCGCCGTAAAAACGATCCTCCAATTGGGTGTCTCTCCTGGTCACACTAGTATCCTCCTGTAGCTGCAAAATAAATGGGCACCCTTCTGGGGACATACTCTGAGTCTTTCCATGAGGTGCTGACCGAGGTCTTGATGAAAAAGTGAAAATGCCCTTTGGGCCAATCTGGCTTTCCTCTGCCTGCTGGTCCTTGCTGGCTTCTAGCCACAGGTGCGAGGTGTGGCAGGATTCATCATCCATAAGTGGAGACTGACTGCTGGACACCAAATGGGGATTGTGGCCATCATTTGCAGGAAATATCCACTCATCTGACATTTGGAAAAGATGACAGATATTAGAGTGGTGTCCCGTAAGCGTTATTTTAGGCAGGTAGTTAGGTTAAAATGTCTTTTTGTTGAAATGGAGACATATAATATAATGCAAAAGCTGAGGAAGGCAATTTATCCACCATCTTGTAAACTGTTAAGCAATTAACCCACAAATCTGTGCCCACAGCTCTGGGCAACTCGTCTCCAGTTCGTTTTCATCTGAGTTCAAACACTGGCCAGGAAATATAAGTTTGAAGTAATTATCATTTGTCTTACACTGAGTTCTTTATAGCATGGCCTCATTAGTCTGACATTCCAGGGGAAGGAAATCTTCCAAATTTAAAAGAGTTTGAGTTACTAATATCTTCATTTGACTGCAGGAAGACAGGGTACTTAACAAGCTTCTTTAAACAAAATATCTGGGCATTGCTGGGATTACAAATCATGGGGGAGAGGAAACCACGAATAGGTTTACCATTTTCCTCTCCATTCTAGGATTACTGATCAGAACAGGACAATTCACACACTAAATCGGTAGACTTTTCAAGTAATAGTAAATAGAAGTGTTTGTTAATGGGACTGGTGAATTCTGCTGGTGAAAAACCTTTATGTTTAATTGCAGTAGGCAGGGCAGGCACACGGGGCAAGCATCACAGTGATTTTTCCTGCCTATGATGAAAAATGCTGAGATATAAATAGTCTAGTAAGAACAGGAGGGACTCCATCTTAAGGCTAAGATTCCATTTTAAAAAGCAGGGAGTTAGGAGATAAGATTCCTAACATATTTTTTGGGAATCAGCCAATAACTAACCCTATCTTAAGACAGGGCAAGCAGTCCTAAATGGTATGTCCTCACAGCTCGAGGGTAACCACTATCTTGGAGAAGAACAGGATTAGTAAATCCTGGTCTTGTTTATCTTACAGAACACCCAGAGGACTGACTCTGTATGATGACCTGTCTCTCACTGGAGACAGACACCATGAGGCCATATGGCAAGCCTACAGCCCCCACGCCCACCCCCACCCTTTGCCCCATTCTTGAAAGCGTTGAAAGACAGAATCCTAAGCCTTTAAGCATGCCTCCTCTCTGAGTGTGTACTTTGCCTTAAATAAAGACTTCTCACTGCTCAGATTATTGTGTTTTGTCTCTGCGCTCTTCCAGTAGTAAGCATCTTTGTTACTTTGCTATTTCACTCAGTTTTCTAGACTTAAGCACAAGTCTTCACTCTCTCTGTCCTACTTCAGACAAGTAGGGAAGGGCTACTGAGATCTCTGATTTGGGCCTGCAAGTTCCCATCGCCTGGGACCCGGACAGGACTGCAGTGTATGATCATGCTCTTTAGTAGCCTGCCCGAAAATCTCCTTTGCCTTTGGAAAGTTCTCAGAACATAATCTCACTCCATCCAGTACTCTGTGGCAACCCCAAGTCTTGGGGATCGTAGGGGCTTAGTTCCCACACCATGCAGATTTAAGTGGACACTGGATGCCAGGTGACCCTGGCTTCAGGAGCCGGCAAGGGATTTGCCCTGTGCCGAGCAGGAGCTCAACGAGCTTCCCTTTACTCCCTCTGTTCTTCCTTGCTCTCTACTGCCTGCACGCCTGCTGCCATTCACGGCTGGTCTCGCTTTAATGAATTCCTTCCTCACTTACTACACTCCTCCAACCTGTTCTAGAATTCTTTCTTGATCAGAGTCAAGAACCCACCCCCATCCGGGTTGTGGTTTCACCTAGTGGAGACCTCCCCAGACGCAGCTGCGCGACAACCACAGGAGAGAATGTTTTGATATGAAAATCCTTTTGCACAACCTTATTTATTTTCTTTTGAAATACTGTCTAACACCGAAGATACATTTTTATCAAAACTTAAAAATAAATCTTGTCTTTTGTTCAACACTGACACAGCTTTTATAACTTTATGATCCAGACAAATCTTTATAACTTATATTATTCAAAGCATGCTTACTTTCTTCTTTACAATGACAGTGGGAAAATGTTCGAGCATTTTCTCAACTTGGTCTACTTTTCTTGAAATTTACTTATTTGCTGCATTATGTCCATAGCGAAAATCTGACAAGAATCTGTGTTCTGCAGAACCACAATGGTAATTTTACCCCTGACTCCTGAATCCTACTATTATTTATCATCACAAGGAAAATAACGAAGAGATAGATGAGCTTTGCTGAACTTCAAACTCTATCGCTTACGCTACAAAAGCAAAAGCAACAAACAAAAAGACCTTCAATAAAAAAATAACACCGATGGCACAAATAGAACTGTATTCATCACAAATGTATTCATCTGTTTCTTATGATTATATTACACACCTGCCTTAAAAAGGGGGCATAAATGTACATTTGTTAGAGAAACTCTATTAGGGACAAGGCTTTCACATTTTCTGTAGGTAAATGGCCAGTAGCAGGCTGAATCTACGTCATCCGACCACCTTCACAGAGGAAATGGAGGGGTCTGCATCAGTGTACCTGAGGGCAGGTCAAATAGGTTCACTGCGCTGTCCTCTTTTTGGACAGCAAATGCTTCTTCTTGCATGGTGCTAAGCATACAACAGGAGTTTTGGAAACACAGTAGGCCCTTTATTAATTAATGAATGTTGAAAAAAATTACAAAAACCAATGTGTTCCATTTTTTACATGGATATGTAAAGAAAATTGAGGGAAAGATACTGGGAAGCATCATTATGAAATTAGACAACTCGTATGACCTACTGCCTACCATATTATTAACTGTCAAAAAGTCAAAATAAGAGGAGTGTTTTTACAACCAAACAAACTCTAATTATCTCACTACCTCATGCATTTTTGGAATTTGTAGTTTTACTTCAAGTATTTCCATATCAATTGTAATGAATAATTTGGTGTTTTCTTAGCAAAATATGTAAATTACTGTGTAATCACAATATTGCAGCAAACAAGATAAATGCAAGAATGATCACCTAAACATCTAATTAGTTTTTCTACACAGTCAGATTTATGCAAGAGACACTAATTGTGCCTAACATTTTAATGAAGGTTTCAACATTGCATAAATAAGACTGACAAACTACAAACAATTTTCATTTATTTTCCTTTTTCCCTTGCTCAAAAACAATTTGCTTTTGTAAAAGTACCACACACCTGCTAAGCAAGATATGTTGATGGGCTCAATGCTCTAAGCTCCAACCATCTCCATTATGAAAAGGCCTACAGAAGTATAATAGATAATCTTTGGGGATGGTAACAATGTCATGCGAAAACTTCTAAGTTTCAAACTTTCATTCTGAGCAGAGGAACTGTCACACTTAAAACTTGAAAATAAAAATACTCTCTTTCATTCATGCAAGTTGGACATAAAACTGAGGTTAAGAAGAGATTTACAAAAAATCAAAGGTTTTAGCAAATGACTGCATCATGAATTTTCAAAATGACTGGGCTTGAGAGGTTTGATGTTTCTGTTTTATTAATTATTAACAATTATGGTATAATAAAGATACCAACCTGCTTGATCAGGAGACTGGGGTGCTGGAGAGCTTGGATTCAACCTCTCTGCTCTTTGTTGGGACACAGAGGTGAGGGCAGCTGTTGCTTTATCTTCATTCCTGTTATTTCCTGAAGAACTATCTTTATAGGAATAAATATTTTCCACTCTGTTACTTCTTTTGATATTTATAAAAATTAATTTTGGAAGAATGGTATTGATGTGGTATACTTTTCTATGTGATTATTGAAACAAGCAAGTTAGAGGTAACAATATAGATGATACGCAGCTTTTTTCTTTTCCAGTAGAATGTTTTGAGATATATCTTACAATCTCTTTTTACAATACATTTAAGATGTTATCTTACAATTCCTTGATATTTGCATGGAGACATTTAGATTTAAGTTTTACAATATACAATAAAAGGAATTCCAAAACCCATATTATTTTTAAAGGGTCCTTTATTTTTAACTTTGGTTCCACATAAAATGGAGTGCATTTTCTTTCAATCACAATTCTTACTGAACTTGACTCTTAAACTAAGCTCTTTCTTTCAGCACCATAAGCAAATGGACGCAAGCATTTATGCAGAAAGAAATTTTCTATCTACTGTTTTATAAAAATAACATGGTACCTAGCAAGCTGAGTTTTGGCCTACCCAAGAACCCTTATGTTTTTGAGAAATTATGCTAATAGACATATACATGACACACTCCTGCCTTGATTCAGAATAGACTAATGCACCTGTGTACAGATCTATACAGACATGCCTCAAATACAACATTTAAATGAATAATTGTATTAGGCACCTGTACTTGTGTCTAATGCTTTGCAAAGAGTTGGTTGCAAAGAGTTGAAATTTTAACCTACATTATATAGATGCTAAGGAGTCCAATGGGAGAGACTGTTAATGTAAAATACAAAGAATCTGATAAGGTCCTAACTTAAAAAGAGACATAAATGAAACATGAAAAATTACGAGTTCAGTTCAATTTTAGTAAAGTCTGTAGGCAGGAACTTCCTCTATCAAATTTGGGCCATTTAAAAAAAAACAAGAATTTAAGCTTATTCAGCCTTTGAGAGTAGAAGTAGGAAGTCCTTTATTTCTGTGGTGCCATTTAATCCAGAAAATCTCTGTCAGGGCTTGAGCAATTCTTTAGCAGAAAATTGGATTTCCATAATCCCTATAGAACAGACATTTATATTTTAAATGAATTGGTTCATAATCCTTTGAAATTTACAACCTGCAGAGATTCCATTGCTCTGAATAATATACAGATATAAGAGAGTATTGAATTAGTGTCATACCGCTGTGTGGCTCTGTCTTCTCTCTGCTGGTGCTTTTTAATCGTAATCTTCTCCTATTATTATTCTTATCTGCTGATGGTTCTTGAGGGGGATGTGGATGCATAATATGCAGATTGGCTGGTACATTTTCATATTGAAGAAAAAAAGCCAGAACAGAAAGTACTATATGGTTTGAAATAACTCAGTAAATATATAATTACAGTTATAATGAGAATGTTCATGTATCATTCTGACAAAATGTAAAACTGTATCAAAAATACAACTTACTCCTTCATAGGAAAAATAGGTGTTTACTCCTATCCCAATATTAGGATCATATTAGACTTCAAAATTGCTAAGTACATTTCATTCATATAATGTCACATTACAGAGAGCTACAATTTGACTAATGTTAATCATACAACACGCTATATTAAAAAACATGAAAAATGAAACTGAAGAGCCAATGCAGAAAAATTATTTCTTTAAAAGAGCAAGTGTAGCTAAGTATGATTCAGCAAGAGCTTAGAAGGTAGTTTCTAAAAGAACCCTGGAAAACTGAGATCAAACTTGAAGAATTTTTAAGTGTGATTTAATTTGGTAATAATACTACACTACTAACATTCACAGCAGCATTTAATATTTACTGAATGCTTAATTTCTTTTTTCTCATTAATTAAAAAAAATTTTTTTTGTTATCATTAATCTATAATTACATGAAGAACATTACATTTACTAGGCTCTCCCCTACCCCAAGTACCCCCCACAAACCCCATTACAGTCACTGTCCATCAGCATACTAAGATGTTGCAGAATCACTACTTATCTGTGTTGCACAGCCCTCTCCTTTCCCCCAACCCCCACATTATACATGCTAATCATAATACCCCCTTTCTTCTTCCTTGCCCTTATCCCTCCCTACCCTCCCATTCTCCCCAGTCTCTTTCCCTTTGGTAATTCTTAGTCCATTCTTGGGTTCTGTGATTCTGCTGCTGTTTTGTTCCTTCAGTTTTTCCTTTGTTCTTATACTCCACAGATGAGTGAAATCATTTGGTATTTCTCTTTCTCCACTTGGCTTATTTCACTGAGCATAATACCCTCTAGCTCCATCCATGTTGTTGCAAATGGTAGGATTTGTTTTCTTCTTATGGCTGAATAATATTCCATTGTGTATATGTACCACATCTTCTTTATCCATTCATCTACTGATGGACACTT